CTGATGACGGAGGCAGTATGACCTCTGAAACGTTGGTAAACATCGACCAGACTACACAGCTCAACAACCCAGAAGGCAGAAATCTTCATATTCATCGCCCTGATGACGGAGGCAGTATGACCTCCGAAACGTTGGTAAACATCGACCAGACTACACAGCGCAACAACCCAGAAGACAGAAATCTTCATACTCATCGCCCTGATGATGGAGGCAGTAAGATCTCTGAAACGTTGGTTAACATCGACCAGACTACACGGCGCAACAACCCAGAAGACGGAAATCTTGTTATGTTTTGTCCTCTCGTGTTTCCCAATTTTCTGTACGACGTATTTTCGTGGTTTTATTCGCTTTTAAAATGAGCCACGAACAGGTCACCCTCTGCATGTGAAGCCCGGCCAAGTAGTTTTTATGACCTCAGTCCGTACCTCGAATAAGAAGGAAATAAAATTGTGATTTTACGCTGAGAATCGCACAAGAATTATCCCACAGTTACTGATTTTAATGTGGGTGGTCCATTTTCTAGGCCACATTGAACTCGCGTCCACCGTGCTAAGTAACTTCTGCTTAGTTTTGAGTGTAAACAAACGTAAGAGATCCTTTAAAATTGACGTAAGGAGGGCGTGGAGGATCTTCACGCCGTGGCAGGTCCTTTGTGGGGCCAGGCTGTGATCTCGCTCTCTTGCTTTCAGGTCGCGAGTGCGTCGAAGTGCTAGTCCGAGACGCGAGAGGCTCGTCCTAACTATGCGTCCGCCATGTTGAAAGTCCTGCGCCGCGGATCGACGCGCTACCTTGCGCTGAGCGCCGTCCTCCTGACGGTCCTCCTCTGCCTGTACTATGCCAACTTCAACGGCCCGGCGTCCGGCAACTCCACCGCCGTCACTTCCTCCGTGTCCGTGGCGCTTACTTCCGGTGGGGCGCTCGAGCCGCAGAGGGAGGCCGACGCGGCGGTGGCTCTCCCAGCCGGTGAGCAGCGCCCTCCTGAAGAAGACCTCTTGGAGCCCGAAGCAGACGCGCTCGTCGCTCCGGACACCTGTCCGGCTCTACCCTCGGCCAAAACGGACGTCGACACCGTGGAGCAGTTCCGGACCTTCGAGTTCCAGGTAAGAGCGTGTTCCGCTGTGGATGTTTCTGGTCCGACGACGATCGGGACATTAGTTCATTCCGAAACGTCCAAGTAAAATAAGGCAAAGCTGTCCCACTATACGCCATGCAGGTCGCTACTCATTCTTGACATCGACACTAGATGGGGAGAGTGAGTGGTCAGCATCACGCCCCGGCCGCTGGCTTCTCCCACCTTGTACTCCTCACCTGATGATTTTAGGGCGATTAAATCGCGAAGGAAGAGATGGGCCGGACTTGTAGCACGCATGGTTGAGGGGAGACAGGAATCGTTGGAGCGAACTGGATGCAGCTGGCTTCAGGATAGAGTCCGGTCCCTGGCTTTTGTGAAACCGGTGATGAACCTTCGGGTTACATTACGAAAGTGGGCTATTATTTGACACGTTGAGTGTACAATCGACTTTTAAGAAAATTTCCTTCGCCGTGAGAGAGAGAGTGGAAGATGGGGCTTCAGTCAGAGCAGAATCTGTTCAGGGAGCAATCCATCGAGAGTTCATGCCCCGCTCTGTGGCAAATTACGTGTCCACCTCAGTAATATGCACTTTTGTGCTGAAGGTGCAGGTAACTTCGTAGTTTCAGACAAGAAACTGTTCGTTAAAAGTATCTGGATTCTGTCTTACTTTACTCAGGACGTAGTTTGGCGGATGAATATCGTACCACTTACACGTACGAACGAACTTTTATCACGTGTGAAACATCGAAGGTTCGACGATATGCGAACTTTCGTTTGGAAAATATGTCCAGATTTTAATTATACGAGGCGCGTCCACAAAGTAAGTTTCCCACAGCTAGCAAACCTTATATTGCGCGAAGCGACTGTGCGTACGTGATAGAGCAATGACGTAGCATGGCGCATGCACTAACGGCACTTCCCGCGTTCTCACAGTAGCATCGTTGCAGCTGTTGAAGATGGAGGTTCTTATTCCAGCTCCCGCCGACTGTGAAGTGCGGTCAGTGATAACGCTAGGCCGCACACGGCTCGACAGACAGCGAGTCTCCTGCAGGAGTTCAGCTGGGAGGTGTTTAATCATCCACCCTACAGCCCGGACCTCGCTCCCAGTGATTTCCATCTTTTCCTACACCTCAAGAAATTCCTGTCCGGTCAGCGTCAGCGTCAGCGTTTTGAGAATGACAGAGAGGCGGAGATGGCTGTCACACAGTGGTTCCAATCCCAGGCGGCAGACTTCTACGACACAGGTATTAAAAGTTGGTCCCACGGTATGACAAATGTCTCAATTCCGGTGGCGAATATGTTGAAAAATAGCTGGACACTTGCTGTATCTGTTGCAATAAATATTCCCATGAAATTGTGTTTTGTTTCTGTAAACGGCCCAAGGGAAACTTACTTTGACGTTATAAGAACGGTAATTGGTTCGCAAAAGCACTTCTAGCCTTATTTGAGAACTGACATCAGGTTTTTCTACATGGATCTCGTTGGCTTAACTCAGGTGTTCGTGTTTGTTAGACCTCAGGGCGACACGATCGGGGATGTACGAAATTCGGGTCGCGGACCCCACATGGACCGTGCAACTTATAAAATGTTGAAGTTCTCTTTCGTCCTCCGAAAACGTCAGTCTCCAGAACGAAACACAGAAGTAAACCGATAAAAGTTTGTCGTCTGTGAAGCTGTAAATTGTGACGAAGGGAGCTGATCCGCACGACGCCCTGCGTCGGCCCACCCCTCCAGCGCCAACTTCTACGCCTTCCTTCAGATGTTTCAAGTCGGGAGGAGGGAGGATGGGGATAGTTGCTTTTATGTCCTCTGAACTCCAATTAATTTCCTTTTCGGTTTTCACGAAAAGCTTTCGAGGCACAAAGACGAGTTAGTTAATTTTAATGGATGAAAGTAAATATTTTACTTTGAGAGACGACGAAATTGAGAACGTAAAAGAAACGAGGTATCGTTTTCAGGCGTCAGCAGCGCGATCTGTCAGCGGCGGAACGAGTTTATTTATCCCCGAGACAGTCGTTTGTTACCAGTTCTTCTTAGGTGAGGTTAGGTTAGGTTTATGTTCATGAAAATGGCTGTAATGCCCTAGTGAGGGGCTGGACAGTAAAGGAATGCGCGGACAAGAAGAATATCTGAAACTGGAACCAGCGGATGACGAAATGCCTGAACGATTTGTGATTGGTTACTCAGACAGCGACGGAGAATCGAGCGGGGCAGGTCCTCTGGATGGCTGAAACGAAGACAACTGGCCCACAGTGCGAGGTGCAAGGTTGTGCCCCCCGATTTGCAGAGATTAGAGGCTTTCGCTCTCGCATTGCCACCGGAGACAGAGCCCCCGGTCCTTGTTCACGACAGACGTAATAAAGGAACTACGTCCTGTTTGCGCAACAAACGACCTTGAAATTAATCCGTATCGCTCGCAGAACAGCTAATTATATTTAATTCCTGATCAGTATTATTTTATTTCCACCACTTGTTTCGATGCAAGCGAACCATCATCAGGTGGGTAATCAGTACGTCTGTCACAAAGTCAAGAACTGTTATTGCACAGATTAATGTGTAGCGATATAGATCTGTCGCTGCATTTTCATCAAATTTGATGTCATACCGGCGATGAATAAGTCGCTGTTGGACTTGCAGGTGGATACAGTCGTTTCGGAGGAACACGCTGTCTCCAAACACTCAACGTTTGAAACTGTGGCATTACAGCCCGGAAGACAGACACTGGCATGTCCAGATCGTCGTCAAGGCTTCGTGACGTCGTTTTCAGTTGATTGAGACAGTGAAGTTAGAAGAAACGGCATTACTGAGCAGCGAGCATTCATAGTCCCTACATACTGATTTAGGGTCGCGGAGCAATGACTTTAGATAAGCCACGACGCCCCCTCCCAAACTCTTGTCTTCTGGCTGTTTGTAATGACGTCGCTGCAGTGGCGACTGCTGCCATTTTTAGGTTAGGTTAGGTTGAATCGGGTTTGGTTAGGTTGGGTAGGTTAGGTTAGGTTAGGTTAGGTTAGGTTAGGTTAGGTTAGGTTAGGTTAGGTTAGGTTAGGTTAGGTTAGGTTGGGTTGGGTGTGGTTAGGTTGGGTTTGGTTAGGATTGGTTAGGTTAGGTTCGGTTGAGTCGGGTTAGGTTAGGTTGGGATAGGTTAGGTTGGGTTTGGTTAGGATTGGTTGAGTTAGGTTAAGTCGGGTTAGGTTGGGTTTGGTTAGGATTGGTTTAGTTAGGTTAGGTTGGGTCAGTTTAGGTTGGGATAGGTTAGGTTGGGTTTGGTTAGGATTGGTTGAGTTCGGTTTAGTCGGGTTGGGATAGGTTGGGTTAGGTTAGGTTGAGTCGGGTTAGGTTGGGTTTGGTTAGGATTGGTTAGGTTAGGTTCGGTTGGGTCGGGTTAGGTTAGGTTGGGATAGGTTAGGTTGGGTTTGGTTAGGATTGGTTGAGTTCGGTTTACTCGGGTTGGGATAGGTTAGGTTAGGTTGGGTTAGGTTAGGTTGGGTTTGGTTAGGATTGGTTGAGTTAGGTTAAGTCGGGTTAGGTTGGGTTTGGTTAGGATTGGTTTAGTTAGGTTAGGTTGGGTCAGTTTAGGTTGGGATAGGTTAGGTTGGGTTTGGTTAGGATTGGTTGAGTTCGGTTTAGTCGGGTTGGGATAGGTTAGGTTAGGTTGGGTTAGGTTAGGTTGGGTTTGGTTAGGATTGGTTGAGTCGGGTTAGGTTAGGTTAGGTTGGATTGGAATTTTCTTGGAGACGCCGAAGAATCGTCGGAGGTTCTCGAGGGAGACAACTGATCTTCCCGAATGTAAACAAAAGGGCAACGATCATAGGCCCACAGATGTCAGCAGAAAGTGGTCTTTTTTGGTGGGGCCTAGAAAATTTGGCAAGAAGAATATGTAAATGCTAAGCATCACGTCGCAGTGGCTCGCCATTTCCGTGAAATCCGGAGATGTCTTATTTTATCTCCCGTCTCTGCTTCAACACACAAATGTTTCATCACGTATCAAATGTGACGACGCGTTAGAAAAACCTCTCTAGACATCGCATTGATCCCTCTACGGCTTCGAACTCTTTTACATGGGGATTCGCCTCCAACTTCCAGCAATTCGCCGCAAGGAATATTCATCTGTGTTATTTTCAGCGTAGACGTGGCTCCTAAAAGAACAAATGACTGTAGCAGTTTGAGTGCAATGATGTCGTGGTCATGAATATGGTTCGAGTGTTTGTCAGGAGCATGCATGTGTTCCTCGCTCGAGTAGGTCTACAACCGTTCTGACTGATTCGATTAAACGTAAGAGCCGAGAAATTCATCCTCAGCGGATTATCTTTTCCTGTGCGGCCTCCGACGTCACAGTCCTGTCCAGTGCCCTCGTGCACTGCGATCCATTGCTCTGTGGTTGGTGTGGGTCACAGTGGCAGTGTGTGTCAGCTGGCAGGACGACGCGACCCGTATAAATTTACGGGTTTTCAGAAAATGTAGTTTCTTTTAGTGTCCAGTGCGTTTACTGGGAGGACTTTTTCCAGTTTTCCGGTCGATAGCTGCCTTCTGCATTTCGAACCACGAGTCTGACAGACATTTCCCCTCAGTGCGTCCACTGATAAGGTTAAAGTGCAGGGCAGGGGCTGAATAACTCACCGCGAGGCATTAATAGTAGTTTCTGTTAACATTTTTCTGACGTCAATGCGGCTTTGTCCAACTTCAAGTTGCGTTTTGGTTAATTTTGTGGATGGAAAGGCGGAAAATGTTTTCTGAACTGCACGTGAAATTTGGCTCAGCTAAAAGAAATTTCCTCGTAGATTTCAAGCGTAATAGGAATGATGTTACTTTGCGCTTTGGTTGGTTGATGAAGAGAGAGATGTTCACTGAAACGTCTGCGAGTTTTAATCATTTGACAAGGCTCGTAGTCTTGGAGGATTTAATTTGTTTTATTATTGTAAAAATTTGTCGATTTTCTTCTCGGATAGAAGCACGTGAGAGCAAACGTGTTTATACATAATCGATAAACGGTGTTAAGGTCGATATTTCGGCGAGCTTCGGGATCTG